AAGGGGGGGGCCCCGCTTGTCTCTGTGCCGTGTCCGAGGATGGGCTGTGGCCGTGGGGTCCGTCCCAGCCCGGGGAACACAGGTGGGCCTGGGTGCCCCGTGGGGTTTGGGGACCCTGAAACACCCTGTGTCACCCTGTCCCCCGGGGGCGATCCCCACCCCGTACTCAAGGGTGGGGAGGGGGCTTCTTCTGTATGTCCATCTGTCCGCCCCCCATGGTGACACCGTCCGTCCCCGCAGGCTCGCCATGGCCCTGCCCCGCACGCTGGGGGAGCTGCAGCTGTACCGGGTGCTGCAGCGTGCCAACCTGCTGGGCTACTACGAGACCTTCATCCAGCAAGGGGGGGACGACGTGCAGCAGCTCTGCGAGGCGGGCGAGGAGGAGTTCCTGGAGATCATGGCGCTGGTGGGCATGGCCACCAAGCCCCTGCATGTCCGCCGCCTCCAGAAGGCCCTGCGCGAGTGGGCCTCCAACCCAGGGCTCTTCAGCCAGCCCGTCTCGGCCGTGCCCGTCAGCAGCATCCCCCTCTTCAAGCTCTCTGAGGCCGGCGGGCGCAAGGCGCTCAGCAACGGGCACGCCAGCCCCAGCGAGGCCGCCGGCAAGGGGGGCAGCAGCACCGGGACACCCCCGGCCCGCAGTCCCACGGAGCCGGGAGAGAAGCTGTCGCCATCGGCTGCCCCACCGTGGCCGGGGAGGAGCACCCCCGAGTCGGAGGGTGGTGGGGACGAGGAGCCGGGGGGTCCCCCCTTCTCCCCGGGTGGGAGCGGTGGTGACCAGCCGGCGGGCACGGAGGTGCTGGAGCCAGAGCTGGCACGGACAGTGGCAGAGAGCGTGGAGCGGCTGCTGCAGAGCTGCCCCCGGGGTGGCGAGGCCGAGCTGCGGGCGCTGATGAAGCTCAACAAGAAGCTGGCCAAGGCTGTGGGGCACATCTTCCAGCTGGAGGATGGCGACCGGCACAAGGAGGAGGAGATCCGCCGGCACAGCGCAATCTACGGCCGTGGCGAGGCCCGGCGCCGTGAGGGCAAGCAGCTCACTCTGCACGAGGTGGGCGGCATGGCGGGGTCCACGCTCGAAGGTCCTGGGGACGTGCTGGCTTGGGGTGGGGGCCAAGGCAGCTCTGGAGGTGGAGGGGGGGACACAGACTCTGGCCCAGGGAGGAGGTTGGAGTGGGGGCTCCATCACAGAGGGGTTGGGAGCCAGGGTACGCTCCCACCCAGGCGGCATCTGCCTGCCTGGAGCAGATGCCGCCTTTGCCGTGGGGTCCTGTGGGCGCTGCGGTCCCTGTCCCCGCTCACGCATCGTCTCTGCCCCCAGCTCATCATCAACGAGGCGGCCGCCCAGTTCTGCCTGCGGGACAATTCGCTGCTGCTGCGGCGTGTCGAGCTCTTCTCGCTCTCACGGCAGGTTGCGCGGGAGAGCACCTACCTGTCCTCGCTCAAGGTCGCCAGGTGAGCCCAGACCTGGCAAACCCCCACCTTGCAGGCCTGGGGGGGGTCCTGGCTGTCACCTGCTCTGCGCTCCCGGGAACTGCACCACAACGCAGCGCTTCTGGATGGGAACGGGACCCTGCAGCCCCAAGTTCCCCTTTCCCTCACGTGTGCTGTTTTCTGTTTAACCTCGGTGGTGGAGAGGATGGCAGGGATGCCTGGCACTGGGGGGGGGGGACACTGGGGATGCCCCATCCCCTGCCCTCTTCCCCTGGAGCCCCAGCCTGGCATGCGCCGGATGCCATGGCTGGGCTGCCTTTTCCCTTCACTCTCCAGCTGCTTCCTCCCCCCCTTTTTGCCACCCCCAGCTCCATCTGCGCCAAAGCCTCGATCCGCGCCGCCCCCCGGCACCGCCCTGCCCGGGCGGCCACCCACGCTTGCCGCTGCGGCTGGTGCTGCCCGCAGCGTGGCAGGAGGCCGGGCAGGCATGCCTGTCGTGGGACCTCTGCACAGCTGCCCCCACGCCTGACACAGCCCCTTCTCCTCCCCCCCTCCCCCCACAGGGCACATCCCGAGGAGAGCGGAGCCACCATGGCCAAGCGGCTCAAGCAGGAGGTGGGTACGCACCCAGGGGTGCGGGGGGGGGGGGGGGACCGGCCA